GACCCTGGGTGGACAATGGGAACTGGTCTCTTGGTCTCTCCAACAGGGAGCCAATAGAAACGGGGAGGGAAGTTTGAACCTCCCAATGGGATCCAGGGGTGTCCCCTGGATATGTATATAGTTGGCCTCCTGGCCGTTTGTCTTTGTCTTAGTTGTGTAAGAGTCAAGCGTGCACCATGTTATGGGAGCTGAGTGGGCCTAGCCACGCGGTCAACCCACTACACAATAATAATTGTGCCTGTTTTCTTCTTTCATCAATTCTTTTAGTGCTGAGAGTAGAAAAATGGCTTAATATAAAATCAACATGAAAGCACAGAAGGAAAAGGTTTTATTTATGCGCGTGCTAGGCTGTAGGTAATTTATTCACCTGATGAATTCCACTTCATGGCAAAGAGAAGAAACAATATGTAGCTTTTCTCTCCTTGCTACTTCTCTTCTGCAAAATAGTCCTGTCAGCTTCATACATCAAAGAAGGGAAAAGGTGAGGACTGTGGCAAATGAGAGCCTTTCCTCATGTCAGTCAGGACAAAGAAACCCAGAATGGTAGATGTTCAGAGAAAGCAAAAAAAAAAAAATAACACCTTCATTGATCATGAGTCCTAATCAGTATCCCTGTTTTTTGTGTTGCAGAAAAAGACATTGGCCCTGTTTTGGAAGATGCCTTCACCCTGGAAGTAAGTAATAATTCTTCAAAGAGGCCAAAGAATGGCTTGAAAGAAGCTCTGGCCCTGACTAGTACCTTTGATATGAGTGGCAAAGCTACAGGCTTTTGGAAAATCTGCAGGGAAGTTTCCAGTATTTTTTAAACATTACAAGTAGCTGCAGAGACAGGTCTTTGGCCATACCTCACCAGTCACCTATTTTAATTTAATTATAATGGCTTTCAAAACTGATTTTCTGTTTTCCTTTTATTTAAGCACAGGCTAAAGAAACTTCCTCCATTCCTGATCAGGTACTGAAAGATTTTCCTTGTATTTCTTAAATTGAAAATAAAATAATTCAAGATGGAAAATGTTTGTTTTGTACTAATGTTGTCTAACTCATTCCCCAACCCTCACTCTTATTTCTAAGTAAAAAGATATATAACCCAACTGACATGTTTATGCCAATTTGCAATGCAATCCTATACAGAATTACAGTCTAAGCAATGGATTTAGCCTGGAATAGCTCTGTATGGGGTCACACTGTAAGGGGACATCAGCTTTAGTAACTGGCAGTTTTCTCAGTCACTGCAAAGTTACCATCAGTTAAAAGTCAGTATGTAACAGATGGTTTATTTTTAACATTAGTTTTAAAACAATTACCTCTTGCCTTGCTTGCTAAGAGCTCAGGATAAATAGGATAGATAGGAACTCTAGGTCTGGGGCAAGTGATGCTCTATATTCTTGGTGCTTGGGGCAACAGTGGGAGGGCTTCTAGTGTCCTGGCCCCACTGCTGGACCTCCTGATGGCACCTGGTATTTTTGGCCACTGTGTGACAGACTATTGGACTGGATGGGCCATTGGCCTGATCCAACATTGGCTTCTCTCTTATGTTCTTATCTATCTATCTATCTGTCTGTCTATCTTATTTATTTATTTAACTAGCAGTAAAGCCCGTTGTGAAAGCAATACAACGGGATCTAGAAAGAGGCTCTGGGGCAGTGCTCTGGCTTTGGGCAAACAGTGTCAATTTGCTGTGGTGACCTCAGCAGGGTATAATGACAGAGTCCACTGTTTTCTCCAGAGGAACTGATCTCTGCTACCTGAAGAGCAGTTGTAATTGTGAGTGATCTGTAGCCCTCACCTGGAGATTGGCAGCAATTGTTACCCAGGACAAAATGGCTGGTTTGGAGGGTGGAGTCTATGGCATTCTACCTGTCTGAGGTCCCACCCCTCTGCAAACCCCACCCTCTCCAGGCTCCACCCCTCAAATCCCTAAGAATTTGTCAGCATGTAGTTGGCAACCCCATCTCCTTCCCAGCTAGCCATCAACCTACCATTATCTGCCCCTTTGACTTCAGCTGACTTCTGCCCTCCCTTCTGCAGAGCAGTTGTAATTCTGAGTGCTCTCCAGCCCTCACCTGGAGATTGGCAACAATGGTTCCCTATGTGGGACTGACTGGTTTGGAGGGTGGAGTCTATGGCAGTGTACCTGTCTGAGGTCCCACCCCTCCTCAAACCTCACCCTCTTCAGGCTCCATCCCTCAAATCTCCAGGAATTTCCCATCTGGAGTTGGCAACCCTATCAGGACTGGCCCCAATGTGTTTTCTCCCAAAGGCCAAAGTAGGTGACAGGACCAAGCTTAGTTGCCTACCAACAGGCACTGAGGGGAATGTAGGGTTGCCAGCTCTAAGGAGGGAAATACCTGGAGGTTTGGGGGGTGGATTCTGTAGAGGGCCGGGCAACGGAGGCATCGGCCTTC